GGCGGTGACACATTTCCACTTTTTACGTGGTTCGTGAGCGTGCGGCGCTACTGATAGGGGGGTGTGTCTCAAATCGACCAATTGCTCCCTACGTAGTAAACACACAGTCCAGAGTGCTCCTAAAGCCATTCTTACCTGTGAACATTATAGGCTTTGTAATGAGTCAGAATACAGCCGAGGAGGTGAAGGCCTGCACACTGCTGTTTATACAGGTTATATGCGTATATGTTTATGTGTGTATATATATATATATATATATATATATATACATATATGCGTATACATATGTACATATATTTATACATATACACACATGTACATGTATCAATACACACACACACACACACACACACACACATATATATATATATATATATATGTATATATATATATGTCTATACATACATATGTATATACAATGTACAGTATGTACTTTCCTTCAAGACTAATAGTATCTATCTATCTATCTATCTATCTATCTATCTATCTATCTATCTATCTATCTATCTATTTCAGCATAAGTCATAAGTTGGCAATACACCTGAAATTGTACTCATATGTACACACATTTCTTACATTTGTCATGTCTCTATCAGGTCAATGTGGATGCTCTGCAGCTGTTCTATAATACGAGCTGTAGGCTATATTTAGGTGTCCAAATTTATCACACTCCCTTTACAATATCTTAAAAGTATAAAACACAAGGGAAAGGCAGATTAATGTGATTTTCTGAGAGAGAGAAGGAGAGAGAGATCAGCTAAAGGGATTTTGCATGTCTTCAAATAGTAAATATTTTATGAATCTAAAGTTGTGTTGGGCACAAAATATTTGCTCCATCTGGTAGTAGGTCTATATCTATATCTTTGACATATGTGCAATGGATGTTAACAAGTTAATTTTACCATTTTCAGCTAATAATAGTATTTTTTCTTCTCTCCAAAGAACAGTGAAACACACACACACACACACACACACACACACACACACACACACACACACACATACAACATACACTCACAGACAACATTTTTCAGTCCACACTGGCCAAGTTCCCTGCCTGATGAGGTGACATCATCCCTATATTTCATTTTATGGTGCAACAAAGCACACACTCAAGCTTTGTAATCTGCAGTTTGTGCATAAATTCTGTCATCTATGTGCTTAATTTTGGAAATGCCATTCTGGCTGCTTGGGTGTGTGTGTGTGTGTGTGAGTGTGGCAGGGTTGGGTGGGGGGTGCAGGGTTTGACGGGGGAGGGGGTTGTAGTTTGGGCACAGCACAGAATTGCAATCCATACTTCTGGTTATTGATGTCCAGCAGCTTTGCCACTCACCATGGCTGACTACTGACACTGACAGGAAGGAGTGGTTTGACTTAAGTGCAAACTGACCAACCACAGACCGCTGTTTAAGTGCGAGCCAGTTTAGGCGAGGCATGGCCGCTTCTGTTCAACCCATTATGCAATATGAAAAAGTGGAATACCATGTACAGCCATATATTCTGTATTTGATAAGATCATTTATACAAAGGCCTAGATTCACAATACTCAAACTGTATGTGCATGAAGTAATTACAGAACTCTCAGCTGTCATGTTGTTCTTTTAGGACATTTTAATCGCTTGTACTGCAATGGTATTTCAGTATTTCAAGAAAACTTTAAATAAGACACATTTTATTGGGTATGAAAAAATCTAAATTGATCATGTATTATTATTATTTATATTATTCATACAGTTTCTTGTTATTGTTCTGTGGGACATGGGACTCTTTCTGTCCCAGGTTAAACCACCTTTAGCCCTGTTCTCATCTACTCTGCTCTCATTTTCACATTGTGACATTCTCTTATGGAAAAATAATAATCTCTATTATATTCAGTTATGAAGCATACAGCCAGTGTGGATTCAATGCATCAATTTTCTTGTTCTTTTCATGGCTCTTTAAAACCTCTTAGTTTATCCATCTAGACACATGCTCCACAGAAAAACCCAAACAATACATCTAAGAGCCATCTATCTATCTATCTATCTATCTATCTATCTATCTATCTATCTATCTATCTATCTATGTTTATTCATCTTTCTCTCCATCTATCTGTCTTATCTATCTGTCTATCCATTTATCCCTCTGTCTGTGAGCCTCTCTGTCCATTTTTCCTTCTGTAACCACTCACATCACAGCCTCTGAAAGAGACTGTGTTCATTAATTCAGTGAACTACTACAGGAAGCATGAAGACTTGCAGTGAAGCTCAATCCAATCCAGTTTTAGTATTCGATTCATAGATTCCTGTGTTGTATTTGTCCTGCATGAGGCTTATACTGGTATAGAAAGCAGTTGCTTGTTTTAACACAATGTCGTGTCTGTGCCTTGAATTTGCCCACCTTCACTTTCTAAATGAACTCTTCAGGGTATTTTTTCTTTTTTCCAGAGAGCAGTGACACACACACATATGACTTTTTCAGTCCACACTGGCCATTGACTTCACTGCCCACAAAATCAACTGATCTCACCAATGAGGTGACGTCATCCCCGCGTTTCATTTTATGACGCAACAAAGCAAGAACTTGAGCTTTGGATGACCTCCTTACGACTGAAATGAAAAGCAGTACATCACCAAGGGGAGGTGATGAGCTCACCATCTGTTCACTATATTGCGCACTATTTTGAAATAAAACCATTGGATGATGTAAGTATGTATGAAAGTTTCAAAACATGTCATTCACACTCCAGTGGGTATACAGAAACTAAGAAACCTAAGAAAACTAAGAACTCATTATCAAATATCAGGCTTAAAACAACAAAAACAGCCTGTTTATTTTAGGGGAAACAGAGATGTTGGAAAAGGGCCATATAAAATTTAAGATTCCTTTTGACACATAAACTTCAGGGGAAAAATACTCTAAATCTGCATACAAACACCTCACTATATATAAAGGCTATAATCTCTCACCTATAGCCTAAACACCACAGTGTGCTTTGCCCAGCTGTTGCAGCTCATCGTTCTTATGGAGGTTTGGTTACCTTTGGAGATTGGTGTAATCCTAAATTTGCACTCTCCATTAAATCATATGTAAAGTTCAAAGTCACTGTTTAATAAAATGTAATTACATTTCCAAAAGAAAAATGTTTAAAGACCAGCTGAAGAATATAAAAAAATGTTAAAAAACAAATGTAATAAATCACTTATAAAATAATAAATAGGGAGCAGTTTACAGAGGTTAATGGAACTGCATAAACTACACATCTCTTTCCGCATTTAACATGCGGTACTGCTCATAACCTTTAAGCCCATCCAGTGGCTTTCCCCTCAGTGCATCGCTGAACTTTGTCATTCCTACAGCCCAGCCTGTACACTTTGGTCCTCTGCAATGCCCACCAATTAATCATCATGTCCCATCAGGTTTGGACAATGGACAAATCTTTGGTGATTTCCGGTAAGTGTGGTTCTTTTGTTCATCCTCTCCTGAATGAGTGGCTCCTTTGGAAAAAACATTGAGGACCAGTACTGTAGATTTGTGGTTCACACATTTTTTCCCCAGCAATGTCAACACACCCACCTGTAAGTCCCACCCCACTCTTTTGGTGTCCCACTTATAACTTTTCTCATAGTTGTATTAAAACCAAAACGCTGAAGCTCGCTCCCTCAAAGTCTCTCTATCTCAAAACCCACCTCTTTCCTCAGTGCTACTCCTCCCTCTAAATTCTCACCCTGACGCAAATGCTGTTCGTTCTGTTGCTTCTGCTCTGTCATCTGTCCCGTAATTTGTAATTTTGTATCATATTTTATTACACTTTTATTATTTTTGTTTTCTGCTCTGATTTGTTTGGCTGGTATTGCTTTCATAGATTCTGTAAAGCAACCTTAACTTTAACAAAGGCTATATATAAATAAAATGCATTCTTAGTTTAAAAATTAAAAGTGAAAGTGCAAGCAACAGCAAAGCAGTGCAGGTTCTGTCATCAACAGAACAGAAAAGATTTATACCCCAAAAGATGAACTTAACTACATGCAAAAGTCTCAGGTTTGCTGCAGCACTTTAGGAGGCGGCACAGCTGATAGAGGAGGATACGATGAGAGGATGATATACTGGAAGACAGGCTCCCCCTACTGGCAGTGCCTGTCACTGTAAAAGAGGCCTTCCCTCTGCAGGGTAACATGGTTAACACGTATGTTGCCCTTTAGCCAAACTTCCTATGCTGATATGCATGTAACTGATATGTTGTTCACCAGTGGTGCTTATGACGGTTCAGTTCCTTGTGATATTGACAGTGCTGATGAAAAAGGCATGAAACAAGTTATAGGTGTAAAAATGATGATGCAGAAATATAACTCAACTGCATATCTTATGGAATGTTATAATTGATTTTAAAGGATTATAATGTTATATATATATATATATATATATATATATATATATATTATTTATAATAATATTGCTTTTTGGTCAAATAAAAATTCTTTGACTATTTTCAAACACGTGTTGTTTTACTAATTCACTTAAGTCTAATATCCAGTAGAAACAGTTACTACACAGAACTAAATGGAATTGAAAATCAACTTCTGGTTATTAAAGGACCTTTTTCTTGTTTTTTGTTTATTATTTTTTGCGTATGTTTGTTTATTTGTGTTAATTTATTCTTAAAGGACATTTTTGAACCTCTCTTGATCCTTTAGAATTAAATGAGCTGATTTCGGAGGAGCTAAAGTGCTGTAGGCTGAATGGGTGAAGAGATGTGATTTTTGTGACATCACAAAAACAATTAATTCAAAAGGGTCTGTTTTTGCTGCTTTCACAAATGGGCCGTACAGACTGAGGAGTGAATGGTTCGTTTTTAAACTTTAACAGTGCTTACACTCTACATCAAGTCTTCTTTTTCACAAAAAAACAAGAAAACACGGGTTTTCCACCAAACAGGCCCTTTAATGAAAATGTCACCGCTCTGTTAAAATCTCCAGACTCCTGCGCGTCACTATAAGGTGCGTTTCGCTGCATCACACAGTTACACTGAGCTGCACGATGGGGGCAGTGAAGGGTCAGGTTATGCTGTAGCCTGTGTCGATGCTGAACCGGCGCTGTGTCGTCGTCGTTATCCGCTCGCCATGGCCATGACGCGGTTCGAGAGACTCCTGGGTCTCTTGCTCAGAGCTGCTGTGAGAGTTTTTCTCGCCGTTTTTGAGTTGTTTACACCTCAGCGAGGAAGCGCCGAAGAGCCTCGACTCCCTCCCATCAGCAACCCGCTGCTCAGGGTCCCTGCAATACAACTCGCCCGGCAGATTCGTCGTAAAGAAGTAAGCTGTGGAAATACAATTAAACTGCTTCTTTTTTACTGAAGAAATTACGTGTACGTTTCACTTGGTAAACTTCGTTTTGGGCGTTGTCAAAAGCCCCATTTTGGCAATCACTACTCTGTTTGAGGAAGAGATGTAGGCTAGCAAGGTGAAATGCTGTGGGGAATTATGGGAGTTGTAGTCATTGCCTGGTCATAAGCTCTTAGCACTTTGACGTTTCAACACAAGGGTGAATTTGCAGCGGCTTGATCAACAAACAGTGGATTAGAGAGTCTGAAGTAAGAGTGTTTAGCACGGGGAGGGAGAACTTAATTCAATAGTATGTGTCCACGCGTTTGTGGTGAACTCACGCTGTTTGGGAGTAAAGGTCAAGACAGCTGAAGAAATGAACAGCTATTGTTAAAGGCTTATGTGGTAATTCTAAGCTCGTTTTCAATGTGGGAACAATTTTTAACCACTGTGGGCAGTTTTTCAGAAAAGTGCACGACGTTACAACCAAATGAATATGTGCAACATTGGCAATGCAGTCTAGCCCAAGAGAGAGAGGTTTGTTTATGCATGCAATCTTTTTAATTACACACAGCGACTCCTTGGATTCATCTGGGTACAGTGGAAATTGTTTGAATGAAGAAGAGGAAGAAAAGTTAAGATAAGAGTAGGTGTTGTAATTCAGGTTGAACAAGGCAAGGCAAGTTTATTTGTATAGCACATTTCATATACAGTGGCATTTCAATGTGCTTCACACAAACACAAAATAATAATAAAAAAAAGATAATATTAAACTATAATGCTTCTGATGTTCTGAGATGCAGCACCTCAAAGACAGTTACAAAAAATAGAATTAAAGTGCTGAAGATAAAAGACAATAAAAGAAAAGAAAAATAAAATAAAGGATTAAAATAGTGCTAAGGTAAAGCGCAGCACCTAACAACTTTAAACTGGACCTAAGTATGGCTAAATTTGGAGCATATCTGATCTTATCTGGGAGTTTGTCCCAGCAGTTGGCAGCATAATGACTGAATGCTGCTTCAAGCTGTTTGGTTCTGATTCTTGGCGTTTCTAACTGACAAGTCTTTAGTGATTGGAGAGGCCTATAGCATTTGTATTCTTAAAGCTTCAAGCAGGGGATAAATAGCTTATTCTTCTTGGGTCATGATGAACAATCCGAGGAAGTATTTACTGTTGAAATGCATCAGGAATGATTAAGTTTGCCATACAGATGCTGAGGTTTTCTGTATTTTAGGTAACCAGTGTTGAGGTGGTTCAGGCCTACATTGATCGTATCCAGGAGGTCAATCCACTGATCAATGCTTTGGTTAAGGACAGGTGAGTGAGGCATCGTTCTCCTCTTACATCTACAGTTGTCTAGGATTTTTGTAGTCTGTCCTTTTAATAAGCACTTTTCTCTCCCTGTTGCTCTCTTTATCTTAGGTTTGCTGCAGCACTTCAAGAGGCAGCACAGGTGGATAAACTGATAGAGGAGGAGACGGGAGGGGAGGATGTACTGGAGGACAGGCTCCCTCTTCTGGGAGTGCCTGTCACTGTGAAAGAGGCCTTCGCTCTGCAGGGTAACCACAGCTTCAAGTCTATCGTGTTTAAGATGTATTTTGCCCTTTAGCCAAACTAGCCAACATATACTGATATGCATGTAGCTATTATTGTGACCAGCACTGGTGCTTGTGTAAGTTCAGGTTCACTTTTCTTGTGATAGTTACTGAGTCCTTTTTATTCAGAAAAATGAATGCACCTCAAAAAATGTAAGTAAAAGATGTTTAATGGATTATAGTGTATTATAATGATACCCCTCTTTTTTGGTCAAAGTAGTATTTTTTGACTGTTCACAAACTTTTGGTGTGTTGTTGTTATTTACTGTGTAAATAGTTCCTCCGGTCATATGTTTTTAGGGTATTTTTAGACAGTATTCTTATCTGAAATAATTTAAACATATTGAGCTGAAATTTGAGATTTCATGATGTGTTGTATGTTTTCCCAAGAAGTCATAATCAAATCAAATTGTTGTTCAGAGATTTTCACTCATACAACAACTACAATTATTTCTTATATATTTCCTTTATTGTCATTCTTACAGTTATTTTCTCTCACCGTATATGGTGTAATAGTGCAATATGATGAAAACATTTTCTCTTTTTCTCACTCTGTCTCTCTGTCTTTCCCCATTTCTTCTTCCCTTTCTATCAGGCATGCCCAACTCAACAGGACTGCTCAGCAGGAAGGCAGTGATTTCGGGGGTGGACGCCCCGTCTGTGGCTCTGTTGAAGAGGGCGGGGGCGATTCCTCTGGGTGTGACCAACTGCAGTGAGCTGTGCATGTGGCTAGAGTCTCACAATCACCTGTACGGCATCACCAGGAACCCCTACAACCTCGGGAGGATAGCAGGGGGTAGCTCTGGTTAGGACACACACACACACACTGCCATATTGCCATATATATATCCAAAACTAAAAGTGCTTTCGATTATAGCTGAATATTATTAAGAAGTGTTTGGTATCTATACCATTACCGATGTTTTCATTTTGATACCAAGTTGTAAACAATACTTTTTTCATTACCCTAGTGGGCGTGTCATAAAGCAGAAAAGGGTGTGAGTTGCAGGAATAGGGTATATTGATTGTGATGGAAAAGACTAAAGAAGAAGCACTGGTGTTAATAACATGCTTACAGAATGTAATTTAGACATCCAATCAGAAGTCTAGATTTTGGAACATGCATGCCTTTAGGCTCACTGATGTTAAGACTGACTACTTAGGTATTGAAATTCAGTATTGAATGACACAGAATTATTTGATATACTGCAGTATTGATAAGATTCTGTCAGAACCATAAACATGCTTAATTTTCATAGCCGGCCCTACTTCTAATGCAAATTGAAGTGGTTTTGCTCAGCGTTACTGAGCTCTTTTGAGTAATGAACAGTCACTGCAACAGTGGTGCATTTATGAGTGATAAACAGCTTCAGTGTCGTTTTCATTACTGTTTCTGTGCTGCCTGCGGTCAGACAGGATTTGAAAGTGAAAGTGCATGTGTGCCATGGCTCACGGTGACAAAGCATATTACTTTTTGGTAACTTTTCCACATTTTGTTATGTTATATATTGACATATATTAAGTTGTTGGTAGAAAGTATTATGACAACTATTATGATGAATGTATTATGGTATTATTATGATTTTTTCCTGATACATCTTTACAGATTGTCGCATTAATGAATTTAATACATGAGGTACCAGAAAACTAACTAGCACTAAAATAGGCGCAGAATCTAATCCAGGAGGTGCCGGATCCAAATCAGATTTGTTCCAGCACAAATTAAGCTCTGTATATGGACAGTATGGCAAAAATTATAATATCATGATACATGAAGACATTTTTACAATTTGTTACAGTATTTTGTTTCTGTTTGATAAGTTGAAGTTTGAGAAGAAGTTTTGACCAAAACAATAAAAAGGTAAAACAGTCTACATTTCAAGTATTGCACATCACTACAATGAATCAAACAGCAAGTTATGCTCACATGGACTCTGGCATTATCAAGATTTAGACTCACTATCTCTTTGTTAAAAGGGCAAAACCTTAGGTAGGTTTCTAAATACACTATATGGACAAAGGTATTGGGACACCTACACATTATACCCACAGGAGCTTTTATGACATCCCATAGGCATTATTATGGAGTTGGCCCCCCCTTTGTAGCTATAACAGCTTCTGCTCTTTTGGAAAGCTTTCTACAAGATTTTGGAGTGTGTCTGTGGGAGTTTTTGCCCATTCATCCAGAAGAGCATTTGTGAGGTCAGACACTGATGTTAGACACTGGGCAGGGCTTGCAATCTCCGTTCATCCTAAAGGTGTTTGATGGGGTTGAGGTCAGGGCTCTATTCAGGCCAGTCAAGTTCTTCCACGCCATACCTTTATGGACATTGCTTTGTGCACTGAGGCACAGACATGCTGGAACAGAAAGGACCTTTCCCAAGCTGTTCCCACAAAGTTGGAAGCCTACAATTCTCCAAATGTCTTATGCTGCAGCATTAAGATTTCTCTTCACTGGAACTAAGGGTCCTAGGCCAACTCTTAAAAACAACACCATAGCATTATCCCTCCTCCACCAAACTTTACAGCTGGCACAGTGCAGTCAGGCAGGAAACGTTCTCCTGGCATTCGCCAAACCCAGACTGAGGAGGTTTGGACCTCTGCAATTATTGAGTCAGCAGAGCGTAGGTGACTTTTCTGCACTATGCTCTTCAGCACGCGGCGACCCCACTCTGTAATTTACGTGGTCTGCCGTGAGTTGCTGTGGTTCCTAAACGCTTCCACTTTTCAATACCACTCACAGCTGATTGTGGAATATCTAGGAAGGAAGAAATTTTGCAAACTGACTTGTTGCAACGGTGGATTACAGTACCACACTCGAAATCAGTGAGCTCTTTAGAACGACCCATTCTTTCACAAATGTTTGTAAAGGCAGACTGCATGAATGGTGATTGATTTTATGCACTTGTGGCAAAGGGACTGAATGAAATACCTGAATTCAGTGATTCAGGTGTGTCTTAATACTTTTGTCCAAATGTTGTATATTTTTACTGGAACATGCAGTTGATCATGTTGTGGAAGTGCTGAGATGACACCCTTAACAAAGATCAGTGATTAGATTCAGCCCTTTCTGTCAGTCCGAGTCATACCTTCTCTGTATTTCTCTCTTTTTTTCTCTAAAACCCCCCCCCCCTCTCTCAGGGGGAGAGGGAAGTATAATAGGTGGTGGTGCTTCGGTTATTGGAGTGGGATCAGACATTGGGGGAAGCATTCGTATTCCTAGCTTTTTTAATGGCATATTTGGACACAAGCCAACATCAGGTAATGTGTGATAAACTCTACATGCAAAACACATCTTTAATTTGTATAGCAACGTATAATATTACAGCATATCCTTAAAGTGTGGCCATTAATAAACAACGCTGTGGATTTGCCCGTGTGTGTCTTCAGGTATAGTCAATACTGCTGGACAGCATCCTCCACCATCCGGGCAGCAGCCGGGGTTTCTCTGTACTGGCCCTATGTGCCGCTATGCTGAGGATCTCCTGCCCATGCTGAGGATCATGGCAGGACCGGCTGCAGAAAAGTAACTTACAGTCACCACACTACTCTTAATGTTACATCTTACATTAAAATTTTTAATTGTTTCATTAAATTTGCAGTCTTATAGAACACTTTCAGAGTTGAGCTCTGATTCAATTCTAGATCTGACTCTGTGCAATGAATAATTGCAGATGTAAACATGCATCAGTGCATCAAAATTTGGAGGTGGTGATTCAGCTGCATCAGTTTAGTACTGATTAATAAGAGTACTAAAATAGACAAAATGGCAAATATATCACAGTAGTGCAGGACATTTTCATGGTAGAAAATATAAGTCACTGTCACTGTTGTCCTTTTTAATTATGTGTTGTAACATGTAATGCCTATCTGCCTATATATAATTGAGATTTCTTGATGCATCATATCATTTTGCAAATATTTAGAATTCATTTCCTTATGAAGTTGGAGATTTATATCTCTAGTGTAAATGAGTTTAGTAAACACATCCTCGGTTTGCCAGTGGGTGGTGATACAGCGGCATGGTCAGCTGTAATATGGACTGATGAAACAGCTCTCCTCAGTAGCTCTGTGTTCATTTCCCCTCCCTGCAGATTATCCCTCTCTGCTGAGGTTGACCTAAGGAAGCTCAGGTTCTTCTCTGTTCCTCATGATGGAGGATCACCGCTCCTCTCTCCAGTAGATCCACAACTGATTCAGGCTCAGAAAAAGGTATGCCTGTGTGATTGGTTCTTTCCTAAAGCTAACAGACTTCAAATAATAACCAGTTTCCTATAATGTGTTCCTGTATTCCAGGTGGTTGCTCGTCTGGAGGCTGACCTCGGGGTCAAAGTTAAAGAAGTGCGTATCCCTCAGCTGAAATACTCCTTTCAGATCTGGGGAGCCATGATGTCCTCACCTGGCAAGGATGGGAAGGTACTGCATATGTGTTTGTACACTTTCACAATGTTACTCTGCTGAGGAGACTCAGTAAAACAAGGTCAGATGGTCTTAAATTATCTGCTTTCTCAGTAGTTCAAAAATATAATAATGTAATAATTTTCCTGTACGTTACTATTTTTGTTCATTCACATTCCAAGAAGAAATGGGAAATTAGCTACACTTCTATGTTTTCATCCTAATGCTTCGTTCATGTTTTTGGTAGACAGATGACAGAAACTGGACGGTCTATTGTTTTCTTGTTATTGAATTTCAGATGAATTTTCAGATGAAAATAAGAGTACAGAGCGTCTTACTGCCTTTTCCACCTTAAATAACCACCATAACAACCATCTACACTGCTGAAGCTCTTCTCTGATAGTTCCATCCATTTTTGCTAGTAATGCTGTCACCATGCCAGCATTTCCAAGGTTTCCTGCTGCTGATGAGATGCAGAATGCCAGATTTTTTAGTACAAATGTGTGAGCGTAGCATAGGACACATTGTAATATACTATTTAATTCTAACATAAAATAATCCACAATTAAAAAATCTATGTCTGCACTTCCATGTCATGCTATAGAATGTACATAAATGCTAAAGTGTATCACTGAATTTTAATTTGTTTGAAACGGCAAACTATACAATTTGGTGTAGTCACATCATATCTCAAAGGACTGTGGGATAAGGGGTAAAAGTGGAATGTAACAAGTACTGACCTACTTATTTGGTGCGGTATGAGTTTTGATATGCTTCTACTCATTGGAGGAAGAGATGAGAATGAGAATTTTCAGGACCCAGCTGAGACTGCATGTCTCCAGTCGGTGGGAAGCAGTGGGAAACGTTCAAAAACCTTGGAATTAAGGTGGGGAAACAAAACTCGTGTGGCTACTTGAAAATTGATTTTGCCTCTTTCAGTCTCCTACCACATTTGCAGAGCTCATGGGTGGAGGAAAGAGGGTATGGCCTGTGTGGGAGCTGTTCAAATGCATGCTAGGACTGTCTTCTCACACTGTGGCTGCTATAGGTATGTATATATGTGTGTGTGTATGTATGTATGTGTTAGAGCTTAATTGGGTCTGACATTTTGAACCCAACCCCAGTACAGCCCAAAACATTTTGCCCAACCAAGTCTAGCACCACCTACATTTTAGGATCAGACCCGACTGTAGGGCCAACATAATTTTTTCCAAAACTGACCAGAACCTGCTGTTTTGTCCACAAACATGGCCTCGTGCCATCAAAATGAGTGATTTCAGAGTGCCAGATTACAAATTAAAGGGAATTTTTGCTAAATTTCTGCATAATTTAGTAATTGATATGTAAACAGTTATTTGAAGTAGTTTGGTGTGAAATGGTGCATTGTACAAAAGAAATTGCTCACTGACGTTTCTTTACAGTGGTGCTGATAAGGACCAGGGGTCTGCAACATAAATATGTCCATTTCATTTACTGTCCAAAAAGACCAGTAGACCTACACATGTCTTCTAAGTTTGTAAAAGTAATGTTGATTGCGGTAAAATAATGGTAAACCTGAAAAGTTTCTGATGAATATGTTGGGAACTGTTTTGCCTTAGAGCACCTTGCATGTACCTCTCTGCCATGAATCTTTTTAAAAAATAGATTTTAGTCGAAACCTTATCCTGAAACTATCATAAAACAATGTCTCAGATATCAGGCAGTGTATTTGTTAGTATTTTGTGCAGTACGACATAATAGTGATGATGATGATGATGATGGTGATTATTATTATTAGTTTTACTGAAAGAATAACATAATAATAGAATATCTGTAACATTTAATTTGCAAGTAAGTCATTCACTCACTCTCTCTCTCTCTCTCTCTCTCTCTCTCTCTCTTTCTCTCTCCCTCCCTCTCTCAGGTCTGGCACTGGTGGAGATGTTTCAGAGCTCACAGCCGTCTCAGTTTATCCTGCAGCAGAAGGAGAGCCTGCAGAGAGAGCTGGAGGAGCTGCTGGGCACAAATGGAGTGCTGCTGTACCCGTCTCACCCTCAACTTGCCCCAAAACACCACCAACCCATATTCACCCCCTTCAACTTCTCCTACACAGGTGAGCCCCTAGTTTTGTTTTGTTTTTTTTGTTCTCCCATTCTTTTGAGCTGGGGTGCTCAATTTGAGTTTTAGGAGCTGCTGTCCAGCACAATATCATGATTTCCCTGTTCAAACATTCAACTCAGCAGTTAGTTCCCTTCAAGACTAAAACTGAGCACCCCTTATTTAGAGACCATGGGCTGGTTTCTTTAACTGGAATTAAACATCTGGATTACATTTTCCTTTCAATGGTGATTCTCCTTTCAGAATGCTGTATAGTCCAGGGTTGGTCTTAATCCCTGACAAGGAAACTGATCCTATATGCATTGCCATAATTTAACCTCCTTTGCATTTGTTGAGATCATAAGTCTTTCTGTCTATCTCTCTCCTCATTCTTCTTCTCTGTCTTTCTGCAGGAATCTTTAACATCCTGGGCCTGCCAGTCACCCAATGTCCTTTGGGGCTCAGTGTGGAGGGCTTGCCACTGGGACTGCAGCTTGTGGCAGGAAAGCTGCAGGACCGGCTCCCTCTGGCCACCGCCCTGTACCTGGAGAAAGCCTTTGGTGGCTGGAGAGACCCAGGCGACAGAGCAAATACAGCAGAAAACACCTTGAATACCCCAAAATCCAGCAGTAATGCCACATAAACATCACACATAACCTAATATAACCACTCTAACTACCCAAAGCTTACAGTTAAAGGTGTCTTTTACACATTGATGAGTGTTATGTCCACATACGGCATTATTGGAAGCTTGTTCATCATCTTAAGACAGTTTTTTGTGCATTCGGTAGAGCACAAACTTTAGCTACTATGCTGTTGTAAGACAATTCAATATAGGCTTAAATTAGCACAATATCGAAATGGGGAGTATTTACCTAACAACTATACCCATTTCTTTGAACCTACTACTAAAAGTGCTGTTTAGCGAAGCAGAGTGGAGCCCTGCAGCTGGGGGTCAGGTTCAAATCAGAGATATGCCAGGTGCCATGGCTTCTCAATGCATTTGGCTACATGTTCTCTGAATGCAGGGTCCCCCTCTTCTCCATCATCATGGAATGTAGTCAGGAGAGTTTGTATGCAGTGTTGCCAGATTGAATAGTTTTCCATCCAATTGGGGAGTTTTTAGTTGGGGCAAAGTAGGATCAGGCCAGTAGTCAAAGTTTGGGCTACACATAATAAAATGCCATAACTTCTCTCCACGCCCATCAGAATATTGACCAACTACATTGTATCCACGCTTGTTGAGAGGAGGTTTGCATTGCCAATTCCCTAGTACGTGTTGCATGTGTGAATGCGTTTGAATGTTTTTTTTTAATTTTGCATTTGAAAATGCTATAATACCACTCTTTCTTCTCTAATGTCTATTCTAATGACTACTAAGCTTTAATATAAGCTGTTAGAGTACTTCAAGATGAGCATCTAAAAGCAGATTCTCATCTCAATCTACTGAAACACTTTAATACCCCATAAGAAGAAGTACACACCTAACACAGTGTGAGCGTGTGATATTTCAGGACAGATTTCTTAGAAGATTGAACTGGATTCAGTATTTTCTGCTGATAATAGCCCAATATTCACACCGGGCATTGAATGAATGCACTACTGATGCGTTAGAATGATTCATTCACTGTTGCATCATTTTGGCTGTAAATAATATTGTGAAAATGCTAAAGTGTTTAATATTTAAGGTGTTAAGCTGTTTAATTGTTTAGGCAGGTTTTATTGCCTTCAGGTGTTTTTTGAGCAGTTTGGAAAACATTCAACCAATCTGGCAACTCTGTACCCATGTAGATGTGTGGCATAATCAGACGTCACATTGTTTTCCTCAAGTGTGCTGGTGTGTTTGCCAGTGCTGCACATCCAGTTCTGCTAAAAGACATGCTACATTGTCCTGGAGGAGAGGTGCACTAACCTTCACACTTGACTCTGCTGATGAGGGCTATGAATAAAATGGTTAAAATGGTTTACCATGTTTACAGTTTTCTTGTATTATTTAGATAGGGAGACTATTTCCATTCATAAAAGAGTAATGTAGTAATGACTTCAATTCATAAAGCAACATGTTGGGCACATACACACAGCCCAGTGTGTACAGTGTATTGCCATCCTGCCTTTCTGAACCAGCTGTCTAGCACTGCTGTCTCTCTTAAAAATACCCATCAAAAGCATATGCTTTCCTGGCACTGATTTACATTTCATCCAACAGTCAGCTGGAAGAAGTGTGACCACTGAGTATTGTTCCTATAGTAACAAAAACATCTGTGACTACTTCTTGCAAATGTTAGTGCTTCTAATTAAAAGGCCACAGGGAATCTGCTTTATCTGGTGGAGTGACAAGATCTCAAATGACAGCCACAGTAGGTATTGGTCTTAAAGATTCAAATGGCTGCCTGTTGATAGATTTATGAACTTTCAATAAGTACAGTCTTTGATTTAGCAGAAAAAGTGGGTTAACAATCTAAACATTTTCTAATGCATAGATTCATGTAATAAGTACATGCATGTCTAGGTGAATAAACACTGCATATGTCTGTTTAAAAAAAGGTTATTACTTGATTGTTTACATTTATTTTCAGAATAACGATAACAAATTTGGAGAAAAATAACTAGATTACCTCAGTGATGTGCATGCGTGTGGTACATCCTACCTCCATTTTTGTAAGTTTACATTTTTTAAGGGAAATTTAAAACTCACATTTTGTAGCCTAAAGTTTAATTTAGAAAAGAGTGAAATAAATTATCCAAAATATTTAAAAAAGTAATAAAATATTCAGAATTTTGTGACTTTTTAACAGAAAAATCAGCATGGATTTTTCAGTCAATCCAAAGTTATAATAAATTTAGTGATGAGTGTGATGTAGCATTATTAAGCATTTTAGAATGTTAGTGTACTTCCTATTTCACATTACTTATGTGAATCAGAATGTCAGCCAGAACTCGTTGAGATGGATCCATTTGCAGGTTAACTAAGAGTAAGGCAATCTAGAACTCGTAGTCAAGAAAGAAAAGCAAAGGTCTCATAACAGAGAAACAGTTAAAAAAAGAACAAAGACAGAAGTCTAAAAAGTCAAAGGTTCAAAATACCATGCACCTGGCAATGCTCTGCACTGAAGTGCTGTGTTTGGGGAGTGTTTGAGGTGAGGCTGATTGGGGCACTAATAAGATGCAGGTGGCATGATCACATCAGGTGGTGACATATTGAAACGTCGCTAGTACTTGGGGAGAGAGACCTCTGGTGGCCAGGTAGGGGATTGCTGACAACTAATCTTCAACGTCCTAACAAGTTACAAACCTGTGAAAAGAGTTGCAGGACGACCTGAAAGCAGCAGAACCAACATTTACAGCTATAATAATAAGCAATGAACTGCACCACACTCATCTCTATTCCTACGCCCCACAGAAAACTCTGGTACAAAATTTGAAAAAGTGAACGTGCTTGCATGACATGGTCAATCCTTTGACTTGATTCCCATTGAGAATTTATGGAGGATCTCTCAGAAAGCCCCTTGTAATCTTGGAGAATTGAAGGTGGTTTGCCAGGTGGAATGGGCCACAGTGCTGCAAAAAGCGAATTACTTTTTACCGTAAAGCTATAATTACCATCAGCATGTTTGCAACAAAGCACTTTTGTTATTAATTTGTGGTGTCTAAATACCTTTTCCCTATCAATTTAGCCTTATTAATAAGTTATAAATAATTGCTGTTATTTTCTTTAAAATAAATGCTATTTCAAAATACAATTTTCTTTTTTGAACAGCAAGGACTTATTCAATTTTTCCTATTATTAAATTATGTATGGTTATGTCTCCTTGTGGTTCTCCTGGTGACCATATGGATAGTGTTTCTCCAGAATGTCTTGTGTTCTGTTTGGGTCTTTAGGCTTCTTCTTGAAAGTTGGTGTGTTCATGATTCCTCTGACTGTAGTCATCCATCATCTTCCTCTTTTACCTACAGTTGTTCTAAGCATACTTGTCTTTTCCAATCAACTGGTTGTTCTCAGAATATGTGCAGAATGGGAGAGCTTCAGTTTTGTTATCTGGGTGTTGAGTGAGATGTGAGGCGTGATTTGGTCAAGGATCCATTTGTTTTCTTTGCCATCCAAGATACTGCAAGTAATCAAGTCTTCGCCAACACCAAAGTTCAAAGGCATCAATATTTTTTTCTGCTCTGCTTTTTTTATCGTCCAGGTTTCATATCCATAAACAGACAACAGATAAGACCACAGCCTGAACAACTCTGATATTTGTATGTAGAGATAATTGTAGAGTAGTAGCATCGTAATAGAACTATTCCATACATGTATTTTGCACAATTTGGTTTTACATTTATTTTTTACCTTTTTTTTTTTTACATATATTTTACATATATATAAACACACTGAGATGCACAATAGTAGTCTGAACAAAGATAAACCAACATAAAGTGTCTCAGTAGATATTGAGCCACCATGAGCTGATATAGATTCTGCAGGTCTCTGGAACTGAACCGGAGGGATGGAAAACTGTTCTTCCAAAACCTATTCTCTCGGTTCGTGCCTTGATGATTTTGGTAGAGAGTGCTGTCTAAAAGGTGTTCAGCTGTGTGGAGATGAGGTGTTGTAATGAGGGTTTTATGTACTGTCACAATACTATAACCTCTCTCTCTGTGTATGGACTGTTCTTGCTGACACAGTCTGATCATGTTGGAGGGCACAAATATAGTGATGCTAGAAATGAAACAGTTCTTCTTATCTCATAGTTCTTATTCTTTTTCCACCATATCAAACACATTATCTGAATACCACTACATGCTCAAGCTTGTTCTTTAAATGCAGGCGTTCACACAGACTGTGGCAGCAGCTTCTCTCTTGAGAACTCAGCACAGAGGCACACAGGGATCAAGGATTTTATATGCAGGTAAGTGATATGACCTGGTGCTTTGATGATGTCACTTTTTTAAAAAATGACTTTTTCTGTATGAGTAGGCTGTGTGCTAATTCAGCACTGTGTTCTATATTAAAATGCAAATCATTTACATTTAGAAATAAGTAGGCTACTTGATAACGTGATGTGAAAAGGATGACCTTTTTTCTGTTTTTTTTGTGCTCTTGCAAGTTCATTGCTAATGACTATTGATGTCCATTTAGTAGGCAGTGTAGTGACTGCAATATAAGATGGTTCTGTGTTAATACTATTGGATTGTGAGTGACTAAATTATTATGTTGAATGTAATTCACCACTCAAAAAATGTTTTTTAGTCTAGATTTAGGCTTAATCCATTACATTTACAGCAATGCAAATTGGTTGAGTGGGAAGGATTGGAAGTCTGGACATTTATAGGGTTAATCTAGATCTGGAAAACTGGTCCTTAAAGTGTAAGAATAAAAGCAGTGGTCTAGTTCTAAGCTTCCATATGACTGACATACGGGTTCTCTTAGGGTCAGTTTCCTGGACAAGGATTAAGCCTAGCCCTAGACTACATTTTTCTTTCAGTAGAGAATCCTTGAGATTATTTTTGATTTGTCAGTTTCGTCAAGGTAGTACATTACACCTGGTTGTGTTCTCAGTGTTTTCCGAGCTACATCTGAGCAGGGGTGTACAATCTTATCCACAAAGGGCCCATGAGGTTGCAGGATTTCATTCCAACCAAGCAGGAGCACACCTGCTTCTACCCTTTAAATCAGTCATCAAACAGTTGATCAGGTGTGTGGCTGCTTTGGTGGAATGAAAACCGACAGCCGCACCGACCCTTCTCAAGCCCAAAGATACTACAATTTAAAAATGTCTTTGTGTTATAATGTAAATTGAATGGATCATAATAACCCTGCACATTCACTGCCACCTTGCAAATACATGTCTTTTATAGGCAGTTACACTTTTGAAAGCTCCTATACGACATGTAATGACTAACTGTGGACTCAGTACAGTCCTCTCTTCAGACATTTCCAAAAAAATCAATTAGATCTGATCTGATCTCTCTCTCTCTCTCTCTCTCTCCTTCCACCCATAGTCTAATAAGATGGTTCAAGGTAAGTTCTGGACACTCCGCCAGCACTTTGTGGGTTTTCCAAAGGAGACTGACTTTGAACTAAAGGAAGAGGAGCTTCCAGATCCTAAAGATGGAGGTCTGTGGCACTAAATAAATTCATTATAATGAAGCACTAAAAAGATCATAATAAAGTCATAAAAAAGATGCATTGTAAAATAGCTACATGTTTTAAAAGTGTTCTGATTATAATGAAAAATGACTGAAAAAAGTAATCTGTTAGATGTACACTTACACAGACGATCCCACACAAGTTCAAGGTTTTTGACTTGACCTTACGCAAAGTAGGCTTGCTTTTTATGTATGTATGATATTTAATGAGAATTTCCACCACACGGTGTCACCATTTTCACAATATTGCTTCAATACTGTAGACTCAGCTTTGAACTGCAGGTGAAGTAATGTTACCTAGATTTTTTTTAGAAAGCACTGCTGTGGATCCAGCTTTTAAAGGGACACAGTCATTACAGGTTCTCCATCTGGTCCTGCAGATCTCCAGGCCAATTTGCATTTCTGTTCATTTCAACCTCTATGTGAGTAATTAGCATTCTCTAATTCTTAATTATTCATCTCAGGTGGATAAGTGAATCTGCCACAGCCTTTTTTTAAACAAACAATGTGCAGTGCAGCAACTAATGTGCAGTACTAGTCATTGCACAAAGATGAAAAATAGCATAGTTGTGTCTAGTTTCATTTTACACTGATCTGGGTTGAAAAATAAAGAGCAAAAATGTGCAGAAACTCAACTGAGAACAAAATGATAGCTTGACATTGCAAGAAGTACTTTAAAGGGTAATTCCACTGATTCTTTAAAATGTTTGAATAATGTTATTGTTGAGTCATTTGGAGTGGTTTAATGTGAAATGGTTCATTAGTAGAGGAATATAGCAATTGTAGAGAGTATAGCTATTTTGTTTACTATCCAAAACTACCACTGAACCAACATGCATGTTCTAAGTTTTCATCTCATCAAGTTTTATAGATGTACTATTGTTTTTGGTACTATGTGCCCTCTGTGTTCCTCTCTGCCATGAATGGATCTAAAAAATACGTTTTAGACTACAGCCTTCCTGCAAAACTATTCTAAACAGTGTCTCAGTCATCAGGCAGTGTAATTGTAACAATTTCTTGCAATCTTTTCATGTGAGGGAGATTTTAAGAGCATTTAACTCTTCAGACATCCGGCTCCGGTCACCACTGTGAACAATTCTGACTCTGTATGTTTCTCTGGAAAGGAGTATTTCACATCAAAGCTCTCTGGATGACTTTCTTTACATCTTTACACATTAATTATTTCTGAAACATTGAAACGAACAAATTCCCCTTTAAAGCTTTACATGAAAATGTAAGGAGTAAAAAGTATATATATTTTTTTCTCCTGGAATGTAATAGAGCAAAATTACAAGTACCAAATTTCAGTAATACTCAAGTAAAGTAAATTGCTCGTCTTCTTGAGTGTACAGAATGACTAAAGGATAGTGTTTACATTAAAATTATTTGGCTCACTTAAAAAGCACTTAATAACCTCCTTCCCTATAAACCCACCCTCACCATCCACTCATCTTCCTTCCAACCTTTATAATTTTGGCGATCAAGCATTTCCTAGATTTGCTTTTCGACTCTGGAACTTTCTTTCTCCACTAGTCTGACGGTTTAATTGTCTCTCAATATTTAAACCAATATATTCTTTTGTGTGATTCACTTGAATAAAAAGACAGGCTTGTATTTTTTTTTTAACTTTCTTAAATTGGAGGCCTGATTCCATTAATCATATTGCTGCCTTAAAATAGTGACATCTCTGTAAGATTTAACCCTTGTGTGGTGTTGATGTTTTTGTTACTTAGTGGTCTGGTGGACCCACTGCATTCTTGTTTTTTAAATCAGTACAGCCATAAAAATTCATGTAAAAATCACAGATGTTTAAAATATCACAAGTGGCCAGTGTAGGGTTCTCCTTTTTTCTACACTCATTGTCCATTTTATCAGCTCCACTTACTATATAGGTACACTTTGTAGTTCTACAATTACAGACTGTAGTCCATCTGTTTCTCTGCATACTTTGTTACCCCCCTTTTACACTGTTCTTCAGTGGTCAGGACACCCCATGGACCCTCACAGAGCAGGTACTATTTGGGTGGTGGATCATTCTCAGCACTGCAGTAACACTGACATGGTGGTGGTGTGTTAGTGTGCGTTGTGCTGGTCTGAGTGGATCAGACACAGCAGTGCTGCTGGAGTTTTTAAACTCCTCAGTGTCACTGCTGGACTGAGAATAGTCCACCAACTAAAAATGTCCAGTCAGCAGCGTCTTGTGACCATGGATGAAGGACTAGAGGATGACCAACACAAACTGTGCGGCAGCAGACGAGCTATCGTCTCTGACTTTACATCTACAAGGTGGACTGACAAGGTGGGGGTGTCTAAAAGAGTGGACAGTGAGTGGACACAGTGTTTAAAAACTCCAGCAGCACTGCTGTGTCTGATCCACTTGTACCAGCACAACACACACTAACACACCACCATCACATCAGTGTTACTGCAGTGTTGAGAATGATCCACCATCCAAATAGTACCTGCTCTGTGAGGGTCCACGGGGGTCCTGACCACTGAAGAACAGGGTAAAAGGGGGCTAACAAAGTATGCAGAGAAACAGATGGACTACAGTCTGTAACTGTAGAACTACAAAGTACACCTATGTAGTAAGTGGAGCTGATAAAATGGACAATGAGCATAGAAACAAGGAGGTGGTCATAATGTCATGCCTGATCGGTGTATGTGCTTCACAGAAAATGAGCAAAAGCCAAGGAATCTGATGTTGAAATAATAACAAATTGTATAATTTCTTCTTTTGGTAAACATTGAAAATGAGTCCCACAGACCTGAACACCACACAAGTGTTAAGGAGCTCTCCTTGTACCATACAGCTTTAAAGACAACTAGGCTGATTCCTGTACAGGTGTTTGAATGTTATAATGCATTGTGTCTGCATAATATATAATAATAATAATAATAATAATAATAATAATATATAGTATTTTCATGTTCTTCGTATATTCTGTCTTGTGTTTGCATCATTTTAGAGGTCCTCCTGGAAGCTGTTTTCTTAAGTGTGGATCCTTACATGAGGTCAGTACAGATCTGTATTATAACTTTGTATTTTTAATAGCGTCACTCTTTAGACATGCTGTATTATCTGTACGCAGTAGTGCAGTAGTATTTGTTGGATACTAATTTGTCATTCGCTTACAGGCCTTACAGTCGAATACACATGAAGGAAGGAGACACGATGACAGGAGCCCAAGTTTCCAAGTAAGGTTTGTGCACTAGTACGTAGCGCACACATGCACAAGTGCATTCAAATACCTTGAATAGTCAAATACTTATTTCCTTCCTTGGGAGGTTTCTCGAACTCTACTGAAAATATCAGAGATCAAGGACAAGGTTTCCTCAGGAGTCACTTTGGTGTGAAAGAGGCCTTTGTCAGGAATTTGCAAACACTGAAGTGCTTCCAGAAGAACACAAAATGTCCTGCATAATAATAATATATATAAAGTCGTATGCAAAACTTTTGGTGTTTCCAGGTCAAATGACATGTTTTGTTTGTTTTAATAGAACTTATGAACTAAAACTGCAGAAAAAATGTCATATTTAAGTAGAAGATAGAGGATGTGTCAACTTCTTTTCACTCAGAAAGCCAACAAAACATGTCATTTGACCAGGGGTGTGCAACTTCCGCGTACGACTGTGAGTCAACAATGGCCGCGTGTAATACTTTCAAACTCAGCAGGTGGATGTACATGCAGAGCAGCTTTATTAGTGCTGTTCCAGGAATCATTACTAGAACAGCTGCAAACTCGGACAGAAGGCAGATAAAAGGCAGATACAAGCAAATCCAGAACCCTTAAGCAAGGTCAAACAGAGTTGCTTATGTGGTTTCTGACACTGTATAACAAACTGTTACCTATAAAACTGGACAAAAGTGCATCACATGGCTAAAAACAGAAGCTGCCATCTTGAAGCCGAGGTAGTAGGCTAAAGATGGAGCCGGGGTAAAAGCAGTCATAGAGACACATCACTTACACATACATATCCACACTGAATAAACAGAATTTACAAGTAAATGGAATGATCCCGCAAGTACATCTGTCCCGTCCTGCTCAGACCAGAAAGGTGAATATATGACTTCTTCAATTATAGTGTATAAAACAAGCTTTAGTAACATCACAATATTTTAACTTTCAGACTATGAAACCTATTGCTTTTAGGTTTATTAAAATAACCGCTGATATTACTGGCAAAATATATTTTAAAAAGGTGTTGCTATATGATAGGCTACTGTAACAGGTAACACAGCTCTAACATGTATCTGGTATTAGGTGAATACTGATATAGGCCAGTTTAATTTCAGAGAGAGTGGCAAAGCTGTAAAAACAGAGACCAGAGGCAAGTTATGCAAATTATACTGCAAAAAAAGTTTTGGTTTCGGCAGGCTTGGCAAGTATACTGAGGTAATTAAAGTAAAAAACAAACAAAAGACAGTCTTAATACTAAGTATCAACCGCAAGTGCCTATAGGTAAGTACTTTTTTTTGGTTCCAGTAGATCTTCAATTAATACAAGTAATTGTCTTTTGTTTCTCTTTTAAGAGGTTAATGAGTTTTATATATTTAAGGTTTTACGCTTTATTGAGAAGCGATTATTTATATTTAAGACTAATGCAGATCTTATGATTCACTTTTAGAGATCTACAGTACTGTGCAAAAGAAAGACCACCCTTTCATTTGTTTAATTTCCTATCAAATTGGCCATTAATAAGTTATGTATTATTCAGCATCAGAGAAAAAAAAAGCAGAAAACATATTTAACAGTAAAAGACACAGAAGCCTCAACAACTAAATCTGATGTCAAAATGTTCAGTATTTTGTGTGTCCACATTTTGCCTTTATTACAGGTTGCTGTTGTTGTTTTTTTTTTTGTAAACACTTGTAAAGTTCAGTCTTAGTTGTATTTACACTTCTCATGATCCAAGTAACTCGAAACAAATTGAGTGATGTCAGGGTCTGGGCTCTGTTCAGTCCATGTTCTACTGCGATTTTTCCTCTTCTTCCTCTTTAATTTTTTTAATTTTATGTTTCTTTTTCTTTTCTTTCTTCTTTGTTGTCTTTTCTTTTTTTGGTAACTGCTTCTTCACAGTTACAGTTCCTTTACTCATAGCGTTGAGCTGCCTTCTCACAGTGGAAGGATGGACAGAAACACCTGTGGATGCTTTCAGATCTAAAGCAAGAGAGGAGCTTGATTTTCTCATATCCATCAAAGATGAAACCTTTAAATACCACTTATCTGATGGGGACAGTTTTGGTGGTCTACCAGTTCTTGCACGGTCGTTAGGGGTCCCATTTTCTTTATACCTTTCAATAATTTTTTGAACTCCAGTTTTGGAAACTCCTGTTTTTCCACTTATTTTCCTTTGGCTTTCCCCTTTCTTATGTAAGTGGATTACCTTATATCTAAGCTCCTCAGGAATACCTCCTTTGGCCATTTTAGATGCACATGAAAAAGAAATTTGGAAGGCAGCTAAGGTGTGTTTGGGTAGTTGCTTGTGTGAATGTTAGTGTCTCTTTGAAGGGGAAACAATGCCAGTTTTGGGAACAGGTAACTCGCTAGTTTTAGGATTGGAAGGATGAAAGAGTTGTAGTGGACGGACAGTGCACAAAAGTAAAGAGCTGACAAATGAAATAGTGACAGATGATTGATATTATACCTTTTGTTAGAGGCTTGTGATGCTTCCTGGTTATTTTCTGACACTGATACTTTAATACTTATTGCTGGCTGTTTTTACTGGAAATTATAAACAAAAGGGTAGACACCAACATTTGCACAGTATTGTATTTATTAGGTTTCTTAGCTTTTAGTTTGTTTTTGTTATTTAGCTAATTTAGCAATAGTTTAAATGTAGAGTTATATGTTAAGAAAGGTGTTATACTTTATTGTAGTGTTCTAATTACAGTTTTAGAGCTTGAGTTATGTTATCGTGAAAAATTAGGGATGAATATTTTGCCTCTATATATCAAAGTGCTGGGTTTCTTATATTACCTTTAGGTATTCAACCTTAATAAAACAGTTCTCAGATATGAATGAACAAAAACAGCAAGAACCATCAAAGAAATGAAAAAGGGGAGCAGAATCAAAACCTTGACTCACACAATGTGCACAGTCAGAATGAATACTGAGTTCCAAACAGATCAAGTTTAGTTGTCCCTTTGAACCACGTACAAAACCAGATTCAGTTCTCAGTCCTGCACCGTCGAGTGCAGCTGTTACGGGGAAAGTCCGTCCGTGAAGCTGAGGGTTTTAAACTCTGTCCTGTAGCTCGGTGGGTTGGTTCGCCATCTTGTCTTCTGCAGCGTTATGTACAGCAGACTCGGCAGAATGAAGAACCGAATGAAGGAGGGAAACCTGGCCTGTTCACAAAAAACAGTGTCGTAATGTAGCTACAAATACTCACAGAAACGGTACAGTTACAGAATAAATACTCAATCTTTACAGTACAACGAAGCTATAGTTAGTTAGCTTCTTTCTTCTTTTTTCCGTTCCACCTTAAATGGTGCAGCAGCTCCATCTGCCAGAATGTGACTGCAGCACCATTTACTCCATTTAAGGTGGAACGGAAAATTCGAAGAAGCTGGGAAACAGAAAGCCAACCTCTGCTTCACACATACACACCCATCTTTGAGTCGCATGATACAGCTAGAGCAAACATGCGCCCACACTGAAGGGCTATTACTCACACTCACACATGACTGTACTAACATCAACAGCAGCAACAAACAAAAAGACGTTTCCCAGTCCCTGTTTTTCTCTCTGTATACCTCCATCTGCACAGTGAACAGCACCAGATCGCCTTTTTACAAAGTAGCTAACTCACCAAGTCCAATCCAGTAACGTTACTAAGTGAACTCGCCGTGTAGATCTAGATTTTAACCGCTCACTCGTGGTGATTTGAGGCTTCAAAAAGAGGGTAATATACTAACAAATGTTATAATATTGCGAGTAATTTTCCGTCAAAGCTCAGCACCTCTGTGTTTACCAGTTCTTTGTGGTGATGTTAGAAACGAGACAGACCATCTCGGTCGGTTCTATTGTTTTGGAGCTGTATGCGTGGCAGAGGTGGGGAGTCGATTAAAAAAAAAGAGAATCGACTCTCCGATTCCAAGTGTTTAGGAATCGAGAGTTGACTCCGAAGCTTTGAACTCGATTCCACATACTGTGTGCCTGCATCGTGTGATGTTCTGCTGTGACTGTCGAGACAGTCTGTGTTAAAGTGCGTCTATCCACTAAATATGCGAATTAGACTGACTGCATTTTACTTTGGAAAAAATGAAAAACGAAGTTAAGATTGCAGATTTGTGTGTTGTCTACGTTATGTTTTATATGTTTTTTCTGTATTTATTTTATTGGACTTAATTTTATGTGGATAACTTCACCAAGGGAAATTCCTTGTGTACCTGGAACTTCGCAAATAGAGATTTAGATTGTGATAGATAGATAGATAGATAAATAAATAAATAAATAAATAAAATGGCTTAATATCAAATAACATTGCCAGAGAGTTGACAGAGGAGAATCAGGTACAGTTTAGTACCTGCCCCCCCCCGGTTGATTTAGCTAGAGATAGCCCACCAAATTACATAATTAAACGGAGTCTCTGAGAAACAACTGAAGTGAAAGGACATAGGTTAATATGTCGAGATCATTTATACAATTAATTATAGCGTCTTATGAAATTAATTCATATTTTAGGTTTTATTCTAGATTTCCTTCTGAGAGATCAGGAACTGAGGACTCAAAAACAGTGTGTGGAATCGACTCTTGGAATGACTGAATCATTGATTCCCATCACTTGGAATCAGAGTCGGAGTCGACTCCAAAATTTTCCTCGGGGCCCAGGCAGAGGTTTCGAATCAGTTCAATCAGTTCGAAACGCACGTTTTCTGCGTCATCACGTATCGGATTCTTTTCGCTCCAATCAGAATTCCTTGCGCCTTCACTTACTCTGGATACAATAATACTAAAATTATAGCTTTACTGAGAATGGGATTTTTCTCGTATTTGTCAACACAATGAGGTAAAGCTTTTGTTAGTTACGGAGGAGAGTGGAGGCATTCACTGTTTGACTTTTTTGGCATTATTTTGGCCACAGTCCTCCTCAGGACTTCCCAGCAACAGTTCAACGAGATGAATAAACAGGCTCTGCAGAATAGACTGTTTTTGTAATTTTCAAACCTGTAAAAGTTCCAGGAGTGAATATCGTTTTGCGTTCAAACAAAATGACAGTTCTCACCAGATTTATTATCATTCCTGATAACAGGTGTGGACAAATTAATTTGTTTTACTCGGTCAAATGATTCCACATCTTCACTTCACTTCAGGGTTGTCCAGAGCAGAAATCCTAACTATCCAGTGGGCAGCCATGTGATTGTAAACTGTGGCTGGAGGACTCACTATCTGTCTGATGGCTCTGACCTCAAGCTTGTCCTGTCTGATTGGCCAGAGAAGCTGCCACTGTCTCTGGCTCTTGGGACCATTGGCATGCCAGGGTATGTCCAAACTGATGCCCATTATGATAACTACTAAATACTTGCATATAATACTAGCATAAATACTAGCATATTTTCAGAACCGCCAAACATTTCATCTGTATAAAGTTGTTTGATTCGGCTCTGTGTGACCGTATATTACAGAAGAATAATGATGAAGATGGTCTCTTTGCAGGCTGACAGCTCTCTATGGTCTGGAGGAGATCTGTGAGATAAAGGCTGGGGAGACCATTCTGGTGAACGCTGCAGCTGGAGCTGTGGGCACTGTGGTTGGCCAGATCGCCAAGATCAAGGTCCAGTCTCCTAGAATGTTTCAGAATAAAGGCCTTTTATTTCCTTTCCTGGGCCAAGTTCAGCCAAATACCATCGTTTCTATTGACAGCGTGATAAACAGTCCTGGGTTCAAGCCAATCAACTTGCCTCGGGTTATGACTATACTAGAATTTAACTTTGATACCAATACCAAGAGCAGCGTTAACTCAGTACTACACTTTCAAAACAGCTGTTGTTAAAACAACACATCATTTGGTAAACAGATATGTAATGCTTTTAATATGCGCTGGGTTAATACATTAGTGTGTCCAGTTAAGGACACCACATTTTGGATTACTTTTAACACAAAATGTGTTGGAATTTATAACAGTATGACACTAAATGCATTAGAACTGATAGCAATATGACACAAAATGTGTTAGAACAGAAACCAATATGACACTAAATATATTAGAACAGATAACATGACAAAATGTGTTAAAACATATCATAGAAAATTGTGTTGTTAATTTAGCATACATTTTTTGAGAGTGCAAAATAATGCTATGGCCAACACTTATCATCACCTGAACATCCAAATGTTTATTGCATTAAACACAATAAAACTCTTCACATTGTACATTAATTAACTGTTACAGCCTAATTAATGCCAGATTTTTAACATCTTTATCCATACAAAACCCATAAAATTAGTACATCAAATAAGTTTCTCAATTATTTAAATATAGCTTCATTCAAGCTGCTCTTAGGGGAAGAATAATAGTGAGATGAAAAAATACAGTATAATATAATGATGAGTATAAAATTCATCACTCTGTGTTAACAGCAAATCCAAAGAAGATCAACATATATATCAGCAAGTATTTAAAAATTAAAAGTACTGAAAGAAAATTGGATAATTTGCTACACGGTTGTTCTGGAAAATCTTTGAATTTATTGGGTACATTGCGCACAGAACAGCTTTTCTTCTCAAATGTGAGCTTTGTTTTAAAAGAGAAGTTGATATTTATCATTGCTGTCCTGTGCCATTCCAGGGCTGCAGAGTGGTGGGTTGTGCAGGAACTGATGAGAAGGTCTCTTATCTCAGAGAGCTGGGCTTTGACCAGGCCTTCAACTACAAGACCATCAGCTCGCTGGAGGACGCACTTAGGGAGGCGGCCCCGCAAGGATACGACTGCTTCTTTGAGAATGTGAGAGGAAGAAGTCACAATTTTTTATCCAAGATTCATCTAAACACTGAACTATAGGCTTTGTTTTGCAGCTTCATTTTAGTGATGCAGACATGCTAGTGGCATGTTAGTGAGTGTAAGTGGATCAGACACAGCAGTGTTACTGGAGTATTTGAACACCTCAGTGTCACTGCCGGACTGAGAATAGTCCACTAAACAAAAATGCCCAGTCAACATTATATAAAGAAACAGATGGGCTACAATACAAATGTAATTGTAGAATAACAAAATGTACCTTTATGGTACATGGACTAGATAAAATGGACAGGTCTACCTAATAAGGTAACCAGTAAAGGTATGTCAGGGAGATAATCCTCCAGATCAATTAATTATTGACAGGAAGAACTTTCTGTCAGACTGACTACTACTGTGTCAAATTGGTGAAGTGCAGATGTCAGTGTACACTCTAATTCCTTTCTTTGCAGGTAGGGGGAGACTTCACCAGTGTAGCGCTGGCACAGATGAGGCCGTTTGGTAGGATAGCTCTCTGTGGGAGCATCTCCATGTACAATGACGAAATCCCACAAACAGGTACACAAAACTGCTCAACAGTAAGAGTAAGAGTAAGAGTAGCATAACAGAAATGTGACAGTGCAAAACTGTCTGAAATCACAGTTCTTCTCATTAGATTAGATGGCCCATGAGGGTAAGGATGAATTGCTAAAGTGATTAAATCCCTGCGAAAAACATTAAAAAGGTAATTTTGTACAACTAAATAAGTTCTCACTTACAAAAATGCCACATTTAAAGTATAAAACAAGTGTTGAGTGCTAATCACATACAAGTAATACAAGATGAGAATCACCAATTTGGTCCTGCATTGCAACTTTTAAAGACTTTTAAAATACATAATTTTCCCCTTTTTGCCCAAGTGTAGTTGATTGGTCAAGACATGTTTGGTGTCCAAAGTTAAGCTGGTTAGTTTTGCAAGGTTAATGTAATGGTAGTCTATGTAACCCATAAAGAGTTTTGGTGACTTAGACTTCCCCTACTTTTCAGCTTCACTACTGTCGTAGCTCCAGCTTAAAACTGAAGGGGCCAGTTTTTCAGACACAAAACATGTCTTGGCTGATCAACTTTGAGTTTAAAAGTTGTAATTGTGTAAATTAGATTTTTCACAGAATCATTCTTTTAAGTTTGGATTGAATCATACCTTTAGTTTTCTTGCTCAAGGCTGTACAATCAGTGGCATGTTTTATGGTTTAAGTCAGTGTTCAGCAACCCTGCTTCTGGCTTTATCTTTCTGCAGACTTTAGCTCCAAGGCCAATCAACCCAACATGATATATCTAATTATTGCCTTGAGAGGTCCTTGATTATCTGCGTTAGCTGTGCTATAGCTTCAGGTTGGAAGTGAAACCAACAAGAACGCAGATCTCCAGGAGGAGGGTTGGTGACCACTGGTTTAGATGATAGTTTGTATATTTTTTAGAAATAGTTTTATGAGTTTATAGTAGGAAACCAACTACATTGGAGATGTCTTGCATGCAACAGTGTAGTGGAGAATCCTTGGATCCTCTGCTTTACAGTTAATCTTAAGCATTAAAGCACAGTCCATCTGTTTCATTTAGTTTTGGTCAAATTTGCAATCTTGCTTGTTTCAGGGCCATATATCAACTCTTATATGATCCTTAAGCAGTTACGTATGGAAGGATTTCAGGTCACACGGTGGGAATACAAGCACTATGACGGCCTCAAGAGACTGCTGGCCTGGGTGAAGGAGGTGAGAAAGAGTGAGAGAGCATCTGGCTGCCTCACAATACAGAGAGACTTCAAAGAGCACTGCCTAATTATAGTTATAGATCCCATTATAACCCATCTCATCACCATTCTCATGAATTTTGCATCAGTGTTCAAAGAAAGTGATTAACATGTTACTGAATAGGACCTAATGAAATGCCACTGAACAGGATAAATGTAACAGGAGAATCAAAGGGACATAGAGAAGGGGATAGTATACGGCTCTAAATATGGAAATTATTCTGTCATATGTGGGAAACCTGTCCCATTATAAAGATGATGTGCAAATATAAAGTGCAGCCCTTTTAATGGCGTATCTCGCTTTTAATCCGTTTTGGTCCACTGCGCAGTAAATAATATATTTATGACAGAAGTCTTTGTTAGTGTGTGAACATGTGTACATGTCACATGTCTAAACAGCCCTCTACATCACGCTGTCGTGTTCTATTTACAGGCGAGGTGAAAGTTCCTTTTTATCATGGAAAATTATTAACAGAATTGCACCTCTGATCATTTCTTTATTTGTTTTTGGTACATTTTAGTTGAGCACTCAAAAGAACCAGATGACTGGAAGCTAAAGAACTGGTTTTCACTGGTTTTACTTAACCTTGTGTTTTATATTCTCTGCCTTTTCTGTTTTTTTTTCCAGGGAAAGTTACAGTGCAGAGAGCACATTACCAAAGGCTTTAACAACATGCCTGCTGCTTTTATGGCTATGCTAAATGGAGCCAACATTGGCAAAGCTGTTATCAAGATTTGAGCAAGACTTTCACCTTTGTCAGATTCTTCCTGAGCTGCATTCTGTAGACTGGGGATGGGCATGTCCGTCAGTTTGATGTTCAAATTACCATGATCTGAAATATATTCAACCCCAAACTGCCCAACCCATCTGTTTCATTTCAAATGAGTATGTGTAGTTGCAGAGGTAGGTGGGTAATAACTAGTTATATTTACTCAAGTACATGTACACACTATGGATGGATTTGTACGTTGGACGTGTTTTTAAATAATAATACTTTTACTTCTACTCAAGTATTTTAGTGATTAAACTAATCTACTTTTTATATTTTTGCTATTCATATTTAGTTACTCATTCTTTTGTGTTTAATTGCATTATGTGTTATTGGTGACTACATCTGTACTTTGTGATTGCTCAGATCTCTGACTGGAGCTTTAGCATTTTATTTTAGACCAAAAGAATATGAAAACTAACAAACTTCAGACACTGTGCTTACTAAGAAATTCTACTGCAGTACTTAAATAGTTTTATTATTATTATTATTAAGTAATTTTGTATTTCAAGTTGTTTTGGGGAAGATACTTTTATTATTATTGCAGTCATTATTTTACCCAAGTATTAAGACTTTTACTTTAAGTTTTTTATAGGCTGTAGAATCAAAGTAGCATGTTTTATGGTATAGATCAGTGTTCAGTAACCCTGCTTCTGGATTTATCTTTCTGCAGACTTTAGCTCCAAGCCCAGTCAACCCAACCTGATGTATCTAATTACTGCCTTGAGAGGTCCTTGATTATCTAGGTGAGATGTGCTAGCCTTGGGTTTGGTGAAACCTGCAGGAACGCAGATCTCCAGAAAGAGGGATGGTGACCACTGGTTTAGATGATAGTTTGTATATTTTTTTTTCTATACAAACAAATACTTTTGTACTTCAAGTTGTTTTTGGGAAGATACCTTTACTATTACTGCAGTCATTATTTTACCCAAGTATTAAAACTTTACTTAAGTATATGTTTTGGCTGTTCTGCCCAGCTCTGCATAGTTGTAGCATTGCTAGCTGAACTCATTTGCAAAGTTTGCATTTCAGCTCATTTTTATTTATCTTTTCAAAAAAGCTCTCACAGCTGCAGTAGTCTTTGCATATTTCCTTAACTGGACTGAACAGATTAGACTTATCAAAAATGCTAATTTACTATTGGACTTTACCTTCATGACTATTCTGACTTATTCCTACTACAGCCAGTGGAGAATGGGGGTTGTTTGGCACAGTGTTAACTTCTGGGTCAGAAGGGGGAATACTGCTGGACCAGCATTCATCCAGTTTGCTGAAAACTCTGAACGTTACAGTCTGTTAAAGTGGGGAAAACATTTATTTAGTTAAATTAAAAATGTTTTTTTAACGAGAGATATTGAAAATATACTAATACTATGTTGAATAGCAATCAGCAATATTATGATGAAAAATTTGAAAGGCAACAATAAGTAATGTTAACTAGCTAACTAACTAACTAGCTGTACATAAGTAAATTATTGTTGGTTGGGTTTGAATGGCACACTGATGTTGAGTGACATGTGTCAACCTGTCCAGGTGTAGGGCAGCTAACTTGAAATCCTTAAAATTAAAAAAGATTGTGTATAATGAAATTGTGATGTTCTAACAGAGGCTAGTGGGAAAAAGGTTATACAAACAAAAGTGACCTGTTTTTTTTTCTTACTATTGTTTTTCTTATTGTTCTTCAATACAAGCCAATGATAAATGAACCTTTACTAATGTTTAATTATTTCAAAAACTGTATTTGGTTGTGATTACATGTTGGTATTTGTGGTTTGGTTTGAAGTGAAAGCTCTGATTGTTTTTTATATTTGCCTAATTTTTGAAACTATAGCCTTTTAACGTTGTGCCAACCCCATATTGGGGCTGGTTAGCACAAGTTCCCAACATGAATTTAATTTTAATCTAAGTTATATTTTCTGACATTGACAGTGTCTAAACTAAAGATTTTGCTTTCATTTGCTGCTAGTTAGGATTTCTTAATGTATGGTATGCCTAGGATATACTGCAGAGAGTGAAACTGTGTCAGTTAACCCCACTCTCCATCTGCAGCACCTGTACACAAATGAATCTCTGGTACATTATGTGCTATTATATAATGTAATCAGAAACTGTGCCTCAGCCCAAAGCCTTGCTTTAGGCTTAAGTCTTACGGTATCCTCTAATCTCAAATTTCTAAATGTTAAAGTAAATTGTCCTGGTTTTATTTTTCTTTTCTTACTTGCATATGAAATGAATCATTTGTGATTGATAACAAAAGCACTAAGAGGCCCTGCACCATCTTTTGTGCGTGTTTGCATGTGTGAGTGGGAAGATGTGCTCCATGGCCTCTTGCACACACAGTATTAATGGGATCCAAATGAGTGTAAGTGTACTACTCTTGATCATTCTACATGGTTTCTGCTTCACACCTCATGCTAGAATCTCATTTAGGTGTGGTGTCCTTGGCAACCTGGCTCATTCTATGCAAGCCGGTGGTGGTTCAAATGAGAGATGAAAAGCAGGAATTGAACCTCTCATCAGACAACAACCTGTTTCATCATCCTGGATTCATTTCAAAACAGTCCTTAGATCAGTGCATCTCAAACTGGAGACTGGGGGGTCCGAAGCGAGTGTGAGACCACAGCAAAATGCATCTTTCTGCTGTTCACATTTTTGATGATCACATTCAGTATTATAATTTTGTGAGTGTGTGTGTGCGTGTGTGTGGGAGGGGGGTCTTTTGCCAGGAAGGTAAAAGAATGGGGTCTTAAATGATTGAGAATCCCAGTTATAGCAAAATGTCCCAAATTTGTCTGTGTCTAATTCAGGAGTTCCCGAAGTCAGTCCTGGGGACCCCAGGGGTTCATATGTGATAAATCTGAAAAAAAAAAAAACTGTTTTCTTAAGGGACTATTTTGGCTCACAACACCCTACATGCACCTCTCTGCCATTAATGAAGTTTTAATAATATTTCTTAGGGCAAAACTACATCCCAAATCTATAAAAAGTATCAGACAATGCATTCATAACCATGTCAGCTGTCTGAGATGTAGCTTTTAGGGGTATTAAATGCCTCAGTCATCTGGTTCCCATCAGCACCATTGTGAACAATTCTGACTCTGTAAGTTGTGCTGAAACAGAGCATTTCACTTCAAACCACTTTGAATTATTATTTACATCTTAATGACTGAATTATGCATAAATTTCGAAATATCAGTGGAGTTCCCCTTTGAATGCCGCTCCTAAGTTCTTTCTTGACAAAAGGCCAAGCCAAGTGTAAAGTGTAAAAGTGTAAAGCAAATGTAAATTCCTCTGAGAACTGCATACAAATTTTGCAATTAATAATGCAAAAATGCAGATCCACCAGCTTGGCCATACATGACAACTGTTAAAGGACTAGTTCACCAAAAAGAAATTACACAGTCTTCCCCATTTCCCAGCTGTCTTATTGTAGTCAATCAGCTGAGACATGCTTGGTGTCCAAAGTTTACTTAGTTGCTTCAGCACTGGAGTCACGAGGCTAATGGAATAGAAATTTGTGTCACCCATAAAAGATGTTGAGTTACGCAGACTTCCATTACTACATTACTGACATGGTTTCAGTTTCAAACTAAAGAAGCTCATTTTAGTTACCAAACATATCTACATTTAGGTCAAAGGGAGACTTGTGCACATTTTGGTGAACCATTCCTTTAAGTTGCGACAGAATTTGCGACATCTATTTGCTATCATTTTATGAGTTTATAGTAGGAAAGTTCATATACTGTAGATGTCTTAACGTCTGGCAGCGGCAGAGTCAGGATACGTGGCTCCTCCCCGTTATGGTCAAGTTTACGCATTAAAGAAGTCCAGCTGTTTATTACAGTAGGTCTGATACAGCTGAGAAGTGCGCAGTGAGCTTTAGTAAATTAGGTTTCAGAACGGTCGCAGTTTCTGTCAGTAAGTTACTGCACGGGAAGCTGCAGGGCTGCAGTGGTGAAGCGGTTCAGTGACCGCTCCGCTCTCGGGGGCAGGGCTTCACAGCGTGATGTGAAAGTGTTGCAGACTGGAGTGGGACCACACCAGAGGAGAGCACGGAGAGAGAGAGCGAACAGCCACGGGAGGAGGGTTTCATTTGCCTTTTTAGTCTATAAAAAGTGACCATCATGATCATCGTGATTGAGGATCAGGTAAGGCACACAAATCTACAAGGCCGATGCTTTTACTGTTCAGACTGCGGTAATATGGACTTCAACTCTGAAGCGTTTCTCTCCAGTACTTAACGTTACAAGCCGTAACGGACTCGTTTTCACCGAGTTAATGTTATCGGAGGATCTCTCCTGTGGTTTCTGTCAGGCTGAGGTGTTTCTTACAGGGTTAAAACTCTGCTGGTTAGTAAGAAATCCGCTGAGTAGCTCCGCGAATGAGTGGATGTTAGTTTAGCCGGACGGCTAGCTAACAGCGCCAAGTTTCACCGCTATGTTCCCTTTATGAATCAGTGAATCCGCGATGAAATGATGTTTAACCGGAGACACAGACACAGAGTTCCCAAAACTGCATCATGAAAATCTTTTAGCTTTGTATTTATTCCGCCACTTGTTTCAGCTTCGCCGTCCGGCGTTGTGTGGTCGGTTGAATTAAATAACTGGGGCCGGGCGGAGCGGTGGGCCTTCAAAACCTCAACCCAGTAAAGCCGTTTTAGAAGAGCTGCTAAAGCTGCGCTTTCACAAAGTTTTGTGTGCAAAAACAGAGACTCCTTTAGGTCCGAAATCACACAAATGCCGTCAGTATGAAAGGCTTTTTAATATAGCGGTTTGTCCCATACCGGGTATAGTAATGTTAGCTAGCTCGCTAAAGCTAACGGACTAACAGAGGCTCACTGAGCGCGCCACCCGCCCGCCCCGACACACACGTGGGAATTTGCTTAAGAGTTTTTGGTTGTTTTGATAAATTAATCCGATTTTTTAACGCTCAATCGATAAAAGTCGACCGTTCGAAAGAGGAGTTATTGATGCTGATGCTTTTGAGGCTTCACGCAGACCACATTTGTGGTTATACGGTGTGGTCTTTGGATTACATCGAGAAGCGGTGTTTAACGTTGTGCGGTTAAAACATCCATTTACTTGTAGTGCAGTGAAGTGAAGTATGTAGCTCGTGTTCCGTTATTACAGAGTAAACGTGTGTCGTGTTGCCGTCTGTGGATGTAAAACCCCCCCCAGGCCCGTTAGTTTGGTGTCACAGAGCGGTTTGATGTTTGCTGGCTAAGTTTAGTGCAGCCAGCTAAGCTAAAATGGTTTCGCCTTTGAGTTTATTTTGTATGTCAGTGAGCTGCTGTTTGATGGTGAAACTGCCATTCTTTCACACCCAGTAAAAACAAGCAGAGTCAGCTTTACCTCCTTTTTCTCAAAACGTGATAATTAAAATAAGAGATTCTCAATTTTCAGAGATTTTATTCTGAACAATGCGAGTTCTTTCAGCTGCTGTTTGGCTGTATTTGCAGATGTACCTT